AAAATGTCAGATTTCATATTAAACAACCCTTGTTGTCTTGTGGATAGAAAGTATTTTTTTCTTAGTTATATCATTAGAGCTTAATATGTCTTATTGGTCAACAGATGTTCATAACTAATTAGTTATATCTATAACCTTTTTTTTTTCTTAATCTCTACTGATTTATATTATATGGTATTATTAAATTACATTCCTTTTGTTTAAAAGCATAAAAGATTAAAAGTTATTACATATTTAGAAGAAAAATGATACTATAAGACTTTTTGTGGAGTAATTGTGTAACTTTGTGAATATTATTATATCTAGAGAAAGAAGGTATCTAGGCTCATTTAATTAAAATCTCATCTCATGCCAAGTACCACAACAAATTATTCGCTCATTTTGTCTAGAGAAAGAAGGTATCTATGTTTTCTCTAAGCTCCACACCAAGTACAATCGAAACTCGAAAGCTCACAGACGTTTTATATCATCTGGTTTTTGCTAATTAAGATTTAAGATTAAAGAGATGATGATTACGACATGACTAGTTGTATCAAATGATCGCATACGCTATACGGAATAACATTAATCCCTTAAAACACACACAAAGCAACTGATATTGATGATTATACATAATTAAGACAAAGCTAGAAACCAAAAAACACCATATCATCGAGTCGCTCGTTGGTCGGACAATTCCCACCATGAACTAGCAGCCCTTCACGACCATCCTTGACCGCGACCGCAAACGCGCACCACCCTCGTGGGCTCGGCTTCTCCTCCTCTTTAGTCCCTTCCACAAGCTTCACCTTCTCCCACACTAAAGTCTCAGTATCCAACTTATAAACATCTCTGGAGAATCTCCCAGCACCCATATGCATAAGCTCATGCGGCTCTTCCTCTCCACCATATATAACAACGTGTTTCCCGCAAGAAACCGCGGAAAACACGCTTCTCGCCTCCGGTATTTCCCCGGAGGTTTCAACTGCGGTCCATTCGCCACTAGCCAAATCAAAACAATGAATATCATCCAATTCATTACCATCAAACCCAAACAAAACCCATATTTTCCCTTCCACAACCGCAAGCCCCGGTGCTCCTCTCCCTTTACAAGCTTCTCCAGCCGACGGATACTGAACCCATTTTCGATCAACAACATCGTACGCATCGAGGGTATTTAAACGTCCTTTGGCACTTACACCACCAAAAACGTAAACTTTCCGATCATCTGCAACCATCGAGTGGTAGCTACGACCCGGCAGACCTTCTTCTGGGGGAGATAGCATTTTCCACTCGTTGGTTAGAGTTTCGTAGGAATACAATCCGTTGTATTTACGAGATGCGTCACGACCACCGTAAACGTAGATGGTCGAGCCGATCGTGACCATGCAGACTCCGAAACAGGGGAAAGGAGCGTCTCCGGTTGCATTCGCTATGGACCATTCTTGAGTCTCGAGATCGAAAACGTAGAGATCGTTGTCGATTGGGATCGTGGGTTTAAGCTCACCACCGAAACAGTACACTTTGTTACCAGCCACGGTCATGGCGTGTGAGCTTCTTGGTCCAGGACCGATTCCTTTTTCCCCAACCTGATCAACATAATCATCAAAAACTTATTTTCTGAAATCTTCATGAGGATCGGATAAGCAAAATTAGTAAAAAGCTAGACTTGATTTATCTTCTTACCTTAACCCATTTGTTGTTCTCTGCTACAGGACTCATATCTCAGTCGATTTTGTTGCTCGTGAAGGGAATGAAAGAAATTTTGTGTGGCTCTTGTTGTTGTTGTGTGTACTTATAGGCAAATGTGGTATCGCAGGACCACACAATTATAATTCAAAGTAAATTAAGATTTCTTTCCATTGTTGCAAAGAAATGGAAATACGTTACCATCTATGACACTTCTCTTTTTAATTGTGACAGCTTTGAAAATCGTTTCTTAAGAAAAGAAAGCAAATCTGATTACGCAATTGAAATACTGTAATGTTTGTTTCTTGATAAGGTCTAGATTTTAAAATTTTACGAACGTTTTTTTCTTTAGTAACTTTTTTGTTTTACTAGATATGTTACTAATTTATTTGATGATATTCACGACGTGATTACCGTGTCACATGGGGAGTGCTTTGTCTTTATGGCTCCACTTCGATGAGGGTCACATGCGACTTTTTGTTCGAATACAAACAGACAAATCAAAAGCTCCTAATACCTGGATAAAAGAAAAAAAAAAGAAAAGAGGAAAATGAGGAAGAAATGAATGTAGACACTTGTCAAATGGAATCTGGTCAATAATCCAAGCAACATTAATATTGGGCAGGCCAATTTTAGTAATTTTACACTCTTTTCCTAAATTAGCCATAACTTTGTTGATATCTTCTTGGGCACATAACTATTCAAATACAATTATAGCAAGAAAAACTCGTTGATAAAACTGATCATATTTTCTTGCATTTGCACCTTGGTAAACATGTTTCAGCTACTTACAAAATGTCTTGTTAATTGCTACTGACGAATATTTGGTTTGTGTTTGTATTGTCAAGTCTTTAATTCCAGCACAAAAAAGGAGCAAAGAGAGAGAGGGGACTTAAAAGACCTATGCACTAAAGATAGGGGTTTTTGATATTTAAATTTTAAAATCACATCATATTTTGATGTGGATTATTCAATAATACATAATGTTATTATGAACTTGGAAATCAATTGATATCCATAAACCATTAGGGCATGTTTATCAATGATACACTAAAAATATCATAAGATTAAATATATTAATAAATATCTCTTGAGACTACACAAAAATCTTATTGGGTTGAGACTTATCAAGTGGATTTCATCTCTTTAATTCTGTTTTTAATTGTTTATTAATATTTTGAACTTATGATACTAACCCAAAATCATTGATAAACATGGTCTTAATCCTCTTCAAAAATTGACTTCCACAATGAATATACATAAACTATATATATATTCAATTACTATTGAATTTGTGGGATAGCATTAAACGGTGCTCCAACATGTATGGTTAATTAGCATTAATGCAAAGAAGATGTAAACAAGCTACAAAGAAGACGGGTTTGCGAAAAATTAAGTTGATTTTTTTTTTATTAAACCGAAATTTCATTGAAATAAAAGAGTTTAACCTCCACTAACGAAGGATGCAACTACGCCACAAAGAACTACACAACCCATAATCTCAATCAATATATTGATCAAGCAAATGTTATAGATAAAACGACAAATACTCAAACAGAGCTTTGGGGATAAAACTGAACTTGTAAGTTCAAGCAAAGTGGTAATCGAAAAAGAACGTACAAATTCCTTATCGAAACCAGTAAGAGAAGGAATCAACACCTCCATAGTCGTTAAGGCCATATAGACATCACAATCTATTGTTGAACGAGACTTTATTAGGGTCTTCGATTCTGCTCTAAGCAGATTCGCCTTCGACACAATGCTCCCTGTATCACTAATCACAAGTGAAAAATTCGGGAGGAAAACAAACTCCATAAAGGAGGAGACTGCAGAAACTAACGCATAAGCTGCAGCAAGAAACTTGGCTACAGAGATGATTAAGCACCATCTTGATGAGCTTGGGAACTGTGAGGAAGTCCACAGCCACGAGGAGATCTGAAAATGCAAGAACCTCCATTGCCAAACAACCGAATCTGATACTAAAGATCCAAGATTGGTTTTGGTGAGCCCATCTCTTATCTTCCCAAAGTGTAATCCTGATTCTGTAGATAAGACAACCAAGAGAACAATAGATTGCATAGAACCAGATAAGAGGTTTCGAGTAACATCCTCATACTAAGGTAAAAGGGCTTTATATTGAGGTAAATGAACATGTAAAAGTAGGCTAAATAATACCGTAACCACTTCACAATAAAGTATACGAAGGCTCAAAGATCGCCAACACGCCTCATACTGAGGTAATTCAAGTGATTGAACCCTTAAATTAATGTATATGAATCCTAATATAAGATAGACACCAACCCAATTCGAGACATTCCGGAGAGTTACAAAGACCAAACCTGTCCGAAGCGTGCCTAGGAGCAACATAGAGAGATGAGACTTCACACAGAGACAAACGCAGATCTGGGAATGACAAGCAGCAATAGGGAATATCCAACCTGAAACTGGGTTCACTCCAAAAGATAAAATCAACAAACAAGCAGAGCAAGAAGTTGTTATATCATGACGAGGAGAAGACACAGCAAAGCGAAAAATTAAGTTGATAACCATATTTGTTCTAAGGGATTTCGAATGCAAATTATCCAAAATCAAAAGAAACACAATTATGTCTATTAAGTAAGATTAAAACACTTGAAACGCTATCTTGAATTACAATGACACAGTAGTATCAACGTAGTTTGCAAAATAATAATCTAAGAAAAGACCATAAGATCCTATGGAGGGAATTTCAAATTCGACTTTCCTAGTAGTCTTTTTCTCTAAGCTAAGACGCCAAGTATAACCTGGTAATGTTTTAGAAGGCGATACGAAAACAATTTCACCTTCACAAATGCCCACCACAGAGTTAGAGATTTTGTGGCAATGGCTTTTGTATACTGGAGCCCAAGGTAAATGAAAAACCATTGATGCCCATTCCTTGTTTTCCATAAGACAAGAAAACTCGATTTCGCAGTCTTTGACACGAGAAACAAAACCTAACTTCCCTTGAAAGTCTATGAGCTTTGTAAACCACGAAAGATGAGAATTGTCTTCAACAAGACTGAATTTTTCAGAGTTTAGGTCAAAGCTTACCACATGTACAGTCATATTATAAGGACCAATACCTGGTGTCCTAGAGTAAGCTCTAAAGTATAAAAATCCATTGATGCATATACCACTTTGCCCACACACGTGATGACACGTGACGGGACGAAGATGACTAGGCATGCCTTGTATCTTTCTCCACAAGTTACCATCTTGTCCCACTGTGAAAACCCACCAAGTCTGATACTGGATTGGGTCGTGTAATCCTAACATGCACAATACTTTGTACTGATAAAAAATTGGGTCGTATCCAAAGATAAGAAACTCTATCGAATCATCATATTTCCACAAGATTTTGTTTTCGGGTAAGTTTAGGTGTTGTCTCGTGGCAGGGTTACATATAACATGTTCATTAGGTCCGATTGTGTAGAAGATCAAACCACGAATTGGAGGAGATCTTAGAGAGAGATCAACTCTTGCATGAACTGTCATCTCGTATCGGGTCGGGGATATAGAACAAGTCGATGATCGATGTGGGGTTGAGAAGAAAACAAGCTTTTTAAGGTCATGACAATTGAAGTAAAACAAGAGACGAGACCGGTCCGAGGAAGAGGAACAAGACAAGCACGAGTCCACAAAGTTTTGACTTTGGATGATCCTTGAAAACTCTTTCGATAAGCACTTTAACCTCAAGAGGGTCTTCACGGGCAACCTTGAGAGCATCTCTATCACGAGATCCACATGGATCGAGATTCTGTAGTCGTCTTTCTTCTTCTTGTGCATCTTTTACAACCCTAAACC